CACACACACACACCCCTGTACAGTGCCGCTGTGTCTTACCCTGCAGCTCCGTACGTAAACACAGGCTGGGTGGACATGCCCCTAATATGGGATTCTGGGTACCTCCTCCCCCCAGTCCATGCACGAAAATTCCCTGGTAATTCTTTCCCATTTTTCAGTTCTGGACAACTTAGCATGACCCTACTCCAAAGTCAAGTACTGGATTTGTCTTTTTTCTCAGCTTTTCTGAAGTTCATAACTTTAATTTAAAGTTCTAAAGACCTAGCTTGATTTGTGCCATGCTAACTTGACGTGCGTGATGTGTAGTGCACAAGCGGTGTTGTGTGTCGGAAGCTATTTTGTCATCACTTTACATCAACGCCGTGTCTGGATATCAGTACGCCGGGCACATCGAGCTCAGACAGCCTGCAGGAGGCCACTGAGTTTCTGGGCAGGAGTTTGACACATGATGACTTGATGCGTGCTTTATGAAAGCGCGGTGTGCCTGTCTCTGTACGGCTCCCAAGCCCAATCACCCCCCCTCCCCCCCCCACCCCAAACACTGGAGCCATCAATCCAAGGAAGGGACAGAAAAGCAGCACTTGTGATGTTGCCTGAAGAGGACTGTGGAAGCGAGGAGCTGAGACCATTCTGGGAAAAACACAAGTTGCTTCTTTTTGGAAAGATTGTGGTGCAAATTGTTTCATCCCTCGGTGGAACTACTATGTTTACTAACCCTGTCTTCCATTGTCTAAAATTGGCCAAGTTCTATGAAAATATGATCTGGAAAGAATCCTGATTCCCGTGTGTTCATTTCCTGATTACATTGATCTGTTTTTTTCTCATTGCATGTAACGGTGTTTGAATATAGCACTGCCTACAACCACTGATAACGGTGCTTTGTGTATAGCGCCCCTACTGGCTGGGCTTTAAAAAGGTGTTAATGAGATACATTTAAGTAGGAAATTTGTGTGTTATTATAGTCTGCATTTTGGCACAAATCATGTAATCCTTGATACTTCGGATAGAGGATGTAATGAATCAATAAATATTGCTACCTTATTATAAGATTATACATGTTGTGTTTTTTTATAATGAATTGGATTTTTATCTCTAATTTTGATATATTTTTTGTTGAGCTGTATTCGATTTCTATTTAATTTGAAACTTTTGGGGAATGCTTCTGAAGATTTAATAATAAAAAAAATCTTTCTTTGAACGTGCCTGCTTTTTTACAAGCTGAAGCGCAAAACCGGGTGTAATGCAAATTCGGCCCACAGCTACAGTATGGTTGTTCCAGGCTTCCGTGAACTTAGCAGAAATATCGCACGATTAAAGCCACCTCGAGGCGCAGTGGTTAAGGAACTGGATTCCAGAACCCAGAAGCCTAACAATACCAGTCCGCTCACACGGCTAGTTCTACTAACTCCAGTTGTGAATTTATAGTGGAAAGACGTAACATCATGATGCTTAGTTATGCACACTGTACACAGGGCTGCCAACTTTGGGCAGCTTACTGGACTGAGATTTTCAATTTGAGACAAGTTTACACACACATGCACAGGCGCTAACATGTAAGAGTGTTATTACCTTGCAAATAGTCTGTAGGGTTTGCAAACTACCCCAAGGCTTTTGATGTAGCTCATTTTAGGTTTATAATACAATAATATAAATTGTAATAAATAATATTTATTGCGTGAAAGTCTGAATGCACGAGTGTCACGCCAGAGGCGTGAGAGTTGGCTGCCCTGCTGTACTATATAAATCCACCACTCTGTTGTCCAATTAAGGGTTTCTGCGATCTCTGCAAGCATGTTACTACTTTAGTATGATAAAGTAATTTAACACATCAGTCCTGAATTAAAATAAAGAAATATTAAGGTCGGTCATGTTACTAAAGGCAAACTTCCTGAAGGGGTTAGCTGGTTTTTGCGAGCTCGCGGGTCTAATCGTACGTGTACATATATTTGCTATCGCAGGTTCTTTGGTGTTTGGCCATTGTACTGAGGTGCATGGTATCCTACAGAAGAAAACAGTATAAAATTCATCACTATCAAAGCCTCGGGATTAAACAGCGAATCTGACTAAAGTCCGCACCGCCCGACGGATGCAGCGCGCGCAGCGTAGCACGTGCCTCATGGGATCACGTACTGTGCGTTGTTGCTAGGATACAGTAAACCGCTGCCGGCGCTTGCGTGCACCTCAGGACTGGTTTTAGCGTGTTACCTAATAAATCATACCTGTGAAAGGTAAGAATTCAAGCTTTACGTGCTTTTCCGCCGCTTGGACCCTAAATATCCTGGTCCTCTTCCGACCTATAGCGCCACTGACGTTTCAGTGGCGCTGACGTCTGCAATACCGGTATCGATGGTGCTTGTTTAAATAGATTATAACAGCACTTGTTTGTATGTGGAAGATCACTGTTGCACTGCTGCGTTTATGTCAACTCATTTTCAATACTTGTCTCTTTCTTGCTTGTGTCTTAAGCCCAGAGCGCGTGACGCTGCGGCCGTCGCCATGGAGATCGTGTACGTGTACGCTAGGCGGCGCTGCGACTTCGGCCGTCCCTGTAACTTCTCGGACCGGCCGGCCGAGCTGCATGTGGACGTGCTGCCGGACCCTGCGCTGGCGGCCGACTTCGTTCGCAGGGACCCCTGCGACGTGGCCGTGCAGTGCGCGCAGGAGATGTCGGAGCACGAGGTCGGGCAGAATGAAGCGAAAACACACCAACTTCCCCGTGCACCTGCACGATTCACACAACGTCTTTACCCCTTTCTTCAATTTCTTTTAGTCTGTATTCTTCCATTAGCTTTATGGGTAAGACGTTGGTCTGGCGGTGTAAAAGTATGAAATTTAAATCAGTGTAATGGACATTTCTGTTGTACCTGTCAGACGAGGGCTTTTGAAAAACACTTAAAACGCTTTTCAAAGTACCTAAAGAATATTCCCCCTGCCCCTCCCCAAAAAAAGTAAACATTTTGAATTACACTGTTACAATAGCTATGCACTGAAATATTATTATTATTATTATTATTATTATTATTATTATTATGATGATGATGACAAACGATGATCATGATTAATGTAGTATCTGCATGGTTTTTCAGGTGAACACTGAACGCTTTGAGTCAGAAGCTCGTGGGATAAACCATGTGGAGGGGGGCTGGCCCAAGGACATCAACCCCCAGGAAATGGAGCAGACCATTCGCTTCCGGAAGAAGGTGGAGAAGGATGAGAACTATCTCAACACCGTAATGCAGCTGGGAACCGTGAGTACCAAGCAGCGGAGATGGAGCGGTCGGCTTTATGGTTCATGAAGCCTCATTTTGTCCTTCACTACCTGGTACAATCCAGAACAGTTCATTGTCATTACGTGTAAACATACAAGAGCTGGTTGCAGTTCACTGCCAAACATGAAATACCGGACATTATTACAGACATTGAGCAGAAACACTTCACTCTACAATATGCACAAAATTAAAGAACACAATGGAAATTACAAATTTACAGGAAACAGTCAGCTCAGGTCAGGTCAGGTCAGGTTGGGGGACTTGCGCTGATGCAGCACGTTGCCACAACCACCACAAAGCAAAACTCCTCGGGATCCCAGCTGGTGACCCCCCAGGCAGATACACGGTCCAGTCCCACCCTCCAGAAATGGCCATCCATCTGCCGCAGCCAGGTGTTACATGGGCGTCCCCTCGGCCTGGTCCAGCTGCTCGGGTCCTCAGCAATGAGGATCCTGCCAGCCGGATCTCCCTCTGGGAAACGCGTCACATGGCCATAGTGCCGTAACTGACGCTCCCTCACTGTGCAGGTTGTGTGCCTCATTTCTTAGCAAGAAAACAGTACAAAGCCCATGAATGAATGCCATGTGTAAATAACTGCAAAGTATATAGGAAACACCACTAAGAGCAATGTGCAGATATCACAGACGCAGAACAGACCAACATCCTGAAGTAGCACAACAACAAACACCGTTGTTGACTGTACTGCAGATACTGGTAAAGAGAAATGTCCAGACACAGGAAGAGGGGAATTGCCCCTGGGTGGATAGATTGCACCTAGATGATGTGATTATTGAGAGAACATGTGAGAAACGTGAGAAACCCACTGATTGTGCGAATCGGCTCCTTGCATCACCCTGAGTCATGACCCACACACCTCCCTCACACAGCTCATGGAGCATTGCATCAAGCAGAACAACGCCATAGACATCTACCAGGAATACTTTGAGGATGAAGAGGAGATGGTGGACTCCAGGGAACGGCCCTCAGCCAAGACCATTAATGTCTTCAGGTGCAATTACTTTACTTGTAATTTTAACCCAAGCATCTTCTATATGCTGTGATTTTTCACCAACAAATATCAAGCTTCACACAAGGGCATGGGGCAGCTCCTCTTTTGGTATCTGATCCAGCTGGGGGTTGGTTACAAGTCCACCTCATTCGCTCCTGCACTCATGTCAGGGTATCTCTCTACAGGGACCCCAACGAGGTGAAGCGCACGGCCACCAGCTTGTCCTGGCACCCGGACGGCAGCCGCAAGCTGGCCATCGCCTACTCCTGCCTGGAGTTCCAGCGGGCTGCCAAGAACATGAGCTTTGACTCCTACATATGGGACATCGGTGAGGCTGAACCAGCAATATGTTCCTGTTTTGACTGACCCGGTTACAGGAAAGGGATGTCTTTCCTTCTGGTTTGTTCGGATAATCCCTAGTGACGGGCAAAATGACGCTTCATGAATCATTTGCCGTATTTTTTGACCCCAGTAGATGGTGCTCTTTGTTAAAAAAAAAAGGGACACAAAGCATGTGCCAAAAGCAAACCAAGAGCACCATCTAGTGGGATCAGAAAATATAGCAAATGGTTCATAAATCGCCATTTTCACCATCACTAATAATCACTGATTAGTATTATTATTTATTAGCTGATATCAAGCAGTGAAGGATATGGTGTCATAATCAGGTTGGGGTTCAAGCTGCAGGGAAACGCTGCTGTTGTACCTTTGAGCAGGATACTTACTACTTTGGATAAAAACAAATAAATTTTACTTGAAGACACATTCTAAATTAAGGTTTCAGCAGCAGACCTCAGGTTTCTGGTCACAGGTACACTATCCTACAGCCAATGGAATCAGACCCTTATCTCTCTGTCCCAACTGCAGAGAATCCCAGCTGTCCTGAGATGACCCTGAAACCGGCGTCCCCGCTTGTCTGCCTGGAGTATAATCCCAAAGACTCCCACATCCTACTTGGGGGCAGCTACAACGGGCAGATAGGTGGGATGCTTGTTCAGAAAGTACCGGAAATCAGCCATGGTTCTCTGCAAGCTCGCTGTAACAGTGCCATAAATGGAAATGTCTATGTTCATCTGCGGCTTATGGAGCCCATGGTTTGGGCCACATTTTGTTGTCCCTAGTGACTGCAGAGATCTTTAACTACATGTTTGGCAGTACGATACACTTTATGTTGAGATTATGTTGAGTGTATGAGATTAATGCTGCCTTGTAGGGGCATTTTGTCCTTTAAACCTAACTGGTTTGTTTGGTTACTGCACAGGCTACTGGGACACCCGTAAAGGGAGCCAGCCGGTGGAGACCTCGGCAATCGAGCATGGTCACAGAGACCCCGTGTACAAGGCCATCTGGCTGCAGTCTAAGACCGGCACAGACACCTTCTCCGCCTCCACCGACGGCCAAGTGAGGGTCATCACTCTAGGGTCACCATCGCCTACGCCCGGCCGCCGTCGTGTTGGGAGATGATGCTCCTGTGCTCACGGGCGGTTTCAGGAGTGGTCTGCTTAATCTTTCAGCCCGGGGTCTGGGGTTCGAGCCAGTTGAAGGGCTTTTGTTCACCATCTCCACACAGGTGCTGTGGTGGGACATCCGGAAGATGAGCGAGCCCACCGAGAGGCTGGTGCTGGATCTCGGCAGAAAGGGCAACTTGGACAATGCACTGGGGGCCATCTCCTTGGAGTTCGAGAGCACCATGGTGGGGCCATCACCGTTACCACAAGGTAACCAGTGTATTCTCACCAATTTTGGGGATCTGACTCCTCTATGTTTCCAACACGCTTAGCCAACGAAGTTCATGGTGGGGACGGAGCAGGGATTGGTGGTGTCCTGCAACCGCAAAGCCAAGACCCCAGCAGAGAAGATTGTTTGCACCTACAGTGGCCACCACGGTCCCATCTATGCCCTGCAGAGAAATCCCTTCTTCCCCAAGAACTTCCTGACTGTGGCAGACTGGACCGCACGCATCTGGTCTGAGGACATCAAAGAATCTTCCATCATGTGGACTAAGTAAGGGCCCACATTATGTAGTCTAAGCAAGGGCCTGTATTGTGTCTAATTGATTAGAGATTAGTAGGAGCCTGTATGATGTGGACTTATTAAGGGTTGTTTAAGGATCTGCTTTATGTGGACTAAGTTAGGCCCGAGTAAGGACCTGCTTTATGTGGTCTAAGTTAGGCCCGAGTAAGGACCTGCTTTATGTGGACTAAGTTAGGCCCGAGTAAGGACCTGCTTTATGTGGACTAAGTTAGGCCTGAGTAAGGACCTGCATTATGTGGACTAAGTTAGGCCTGAGTAAGGACCCCCCCCCCCCAAGTCAGTCGGCAAGTGTTACTGAGGGGGAGCAATGCTAGACGACACATGTCATTTATTTCTGCCTGCGGGTCTCTGCCTAAGCAAGGACCTACATTATTAAGTGAGATGTAAGCGGTAAGAGGCGCATTAGACACATTGACAGGGACAGTGACGCCGCCGTCCGCTGCAGGTACCGCGCGGTAAGAGGCGCATCGGACACATTGACAGGGACAGTGACGCTGCCGTCCGCTGCAGGTACCACATGTCCTACCTGATGGACGGCTGCTGGAGCCCCGTCAGGCCCTCTGTCTTCTTCACCGTGAAGATGGATGGCACCCTGGATGTGTGGGATTACCTCTTCAAGCATAATGACCCCACACTCAGCCTGAAGGTGTGAACCCACCCCCCCCCTCGTGGCCTCCAGTGTTGTTATAGGGTCCTCTGAGTCCCCCTCACCCCCCCATGGCCCCCTAGTAATGTAGCAGTGATTACGGTGTATGACCCTGATCCATGTGCATGTGCGCGTGCCTCTGTGTATGTGTGTATGTGTGTGTGTGTGTGTGTGTGTATGTGTGTGTGTGTGTGTGTGTCTGCGCATGCCTGTGTGTGTGTGTGTGTGTGCGTATGTGTCTCACACTCCCGTTCAGGTGTGTGACGAGGGCCTCTTCAGCCTGCGGGTCCAGGACAGCGGAGCTCTGCTGGCCTGTGGCTCCCAGCTGGGCACGGCCACGCTGCTGGAGGTATCTCCGGACCTGAGCACCATGCAGAGGAACGAGAAGGCGCTGGCCACCGCGGTGAGGTGCCCCTCGGGCTGGCCGGGCAGCTGGGGGGGGTCACGCTGGAGCAGGATGGGGTTTCAGGCGGCCTGAGTAAGGGCAAAGCCTTCCAGTTGTTTTCCAGCGAAATGTATGGTCAGAATGAAGATCTTACAGTGCTCTATGGTCAGAATGAAGATCTTACAGTGCTCTATGGTCAGAATGAAGAAGTTACAGTGCT